GATATACATCCGAAGACCAATATGCCATAGTGACCACCAACATGTACATTGCACAGGAATTCCAAAAGCGCCCGAAGGAAAAGGTGAAAGCATTTTTGGAGAGCAAACAAAATTCACAATATTTGTTCCAATGAAATTTTCAATGGGAAGAGATTTTATTTGTATTTATTTAATTTATGCAAAATCAATTTGTAAACAAACAGCTTTCTTGTGTTTCGATTTCACAAATTCACATTCGAAAATATCTTATCTGTTCCTCTCCCTCATTCAATTCGGTCGTCACTCAGAATACCTCAACACGAAAACAACGTAGCGGATAACGGGTATGTAATCGAAATAAAGAATAAGTCTGATACTACCGATTTTTCCGACTTCAGATTTTGGGTCGTAAATCCGTCAAAAATCATCTACCGGTGTGAAATTCGGTGGTCGACATTTCATTACGAAAACGATAGTGAAAACTTACATCATATATCCAGTTTTCAACAAAAATTTCTGCATGTGAATTATTATTTGAACCTTAAAGGGAATCCCATAAATTTTATATGGACATGAAAGGTATAAAGACTTCAGCAAGAACTCTTCTTTCTTGTCTTAATTTCAATTACTTACCAGTAGTTTATTTAAAATACTAAAACAAAATGATAAACTCGGCTGGAAACTTGATCTGAAAGTTTTCATAATAAACCTTAAATATGCAAAAAGTCATAAGCAAATCCATTGCTTAAATCATTTCTTCATTAACAAATTTATCAAAACTCTATAGGAATGAAAGCTACTGAAATCCATTATAAAAAAAGAGCTTACAAAAAAAGAATTTATGATTTCTGTGTTATTATTAATTTTATTTCCAGGAGTCATACAGCATGAATTGCCGAAAAAAACGTCTGCTAATAATTCTATTATATTAAGATGTCTTTGTTGTTGTTATCTCTGTTGTTGTTGTTGTTGTTGTTGTGTGAGTATGTTATTATTTTAAGTGAATAACAAGTACGAGTACGCCTTTCACAACGCTACTAAACTGACACAAATTTAACAACATGGCTGACTTAATTACATTGGTTATTGCTATTTGTATGTTGCATTGGACATGGTATTTATTGTACATAGCTATATATGCAATGGTGTGTATGTATGATTGAATGGCATAATTACCATTATTAAAAACAGAATGTTAACTTATTTTTATGATTTATTTCATATATGTATGTATGTAATGGCGTATCAATTTAAAAAAGGATGAAATCAATAACAATACACACATTTGTTTAATAATAAATATTTTACGTCTTACTCCACTTTTTATTAATATATTTAAGTATAAACTATGTATGTATGTGTGCAAAACATTGTTTAGGGTTAAATAGATTTATAATTCTAATTTTATTAATATATGTTTATATGTTAATATATAGGTATATGGAGTATATGTAGTTTTTGTATGAATGAATGAATGTATATGTTTGTATTGTATGACTAATGCGATTCCTACTCATTAAAGTATATAAAATGTTTTGTGTATAAATATTTCTTCATATATATATATATATATATGTATTGTATATATGTTTGTCTGTGTATATAATTAGTAAATTGCACTGGGTGTGTTTTAGCTGAAGCTAATATTATTATATTTATTAAATTCTAAAAATAAATAAAATTATTAAATCATTAAACAATGTGTGCAAAAGTGTGTAAATAAATTTAATAAACACGGAATAATAAAACTAAATGAACATATAATTGCAAACAGCACGTGGCTTTAGATGTGAGTTTAATACGAATTAAGCAATTTTGATTATTATTGCAAATTTTAATGGAATAATTATTGAAACAATATTTAAAAAATTTCTCAAATTATTAAATTAAATCAATTAAAATATTTACGATAGACGTTTAAACTGAAATATTTTTTTTTCTAATATTTAAATTAAAAATTGTGACTCACTTACGTGAAAGATCTTACTTTTTCTGTATGTATTATTTTCGTTATATTTTTTTAGTATTATTTATGGCTCTCTGATCGTTACTCAGCAAGGAATTATACTCCTCGCTTAAGCATGCACATAGATATATTATGAACAATCTTTTTCCCGCATAATGTGAAACAAAACATTACTAGTTTTTCCATTTTATAAGCGAATAACTCTCGCTTATTTGGAAATTTTTAATTTGGCTTACTCAGGCACCAAGTTTTGAAAGGGATAATCAAAGTTCACAATGTTGTTCACAGAATACCATTGTAGTTGATGCAGCAGATCGCTACACTCTGCTATACGGAAACCCTTAAATCTGCAGTGGATTTGGGTCATTGGGTGAATTTTTTTAGTATGCAAAATATACTACTTACCCTGACGATTTACCTTGAAAAGGAAGTAGTTTCAGAGTAATTTGAATAAGGGTGGATGGTATATTAGCTAGCGGTCCACAAATAGAACAGCATCCACACGGGTATGATCTATTATGCTAAATTATTTCTGAAACCATCATCTTTCAGGATTTTCCAGAAAAGGATTCTGTTCTAATAAAAGCCACAAAGTTAAACCCAGAGAAAATGCATTGGAAACATAAATGTGTAAGTTCATAGATAGCCAGAAATTAAAGGAATAATTTGTCATAGGAAGCACAGAATTAGTAGAAAAAGTGGTTACGGGAACCAACAGCATATCTACTGAGTTTTGTACACAATGTCAAAAATTCAATCTATCTGCCCACTTAACAAGTACATGAGATACTCCGTTCAATGATATTTTCAAGAGAACAGAAAACTGATCAAGGCGAGATGGATTACCTTAACAGTTTTCAGAACCAGCAAGATTAAGTGTAATGAAATACACCTCCTTTTTGTCAAGGTGGTTAAAAAAAAAAAGCGTGGTCTAATGTGGGTAGTTTAAGCAAGCATTGTTGACTGATATGCTGGAACAACTTCGGATATATGAAGACTATGTCTTAGACACTTAGCTGTCTTACTATTCACAGAACTGTAAGAGGTCTTTAAGCAAAATATTAAGGTGCTTTCAAAGTTTGCATAAAGCGATGACTACATTACTTCGAATTAAATTGCACCTTCATCCATCTGACACTATAAAGGACCTAATGGTGTATGTTATAAGACGTAGATCGGTAGAGAAATATTTTTTGTTATTTATTATTGAGATTTCAAAGTACAAATGTTCACTAAATACGCAGCTGATCAAATAGCAATTCCGAGAGAAGGGGTACCCTACTGTACTGTACTGCGATATCTGTTTATTGAAAGTTATTGAATGCTTTTGATTTAAATGTAAATATCAATCAATTATTTTTTAAAGAAAAAGTAAGTGTTAGGAAATTAGTCTACAAATAAAATTTATTTTAGTAAAAAAATTGCAATTCCAAAAATAAAAATTATGAGAACAGAATTTAATTTGGCAATAGCATTTTTAATTTTTGTCAAAAATAAAATAAACATAAATATGAAACTACAATAAGTTGGAAGAAATAAAACTCTTTGCATGATTTTTAAATTTTGCTTGATTTCAATACGCTCATCTTTATGATTAAAAATTTTGGTCTTAATAGTTAAATATTTTCTGCATACGTTTTTGTTATAATATATTTCGTTGAGTGTCTGGGCTTCAACTGAATTTGTATTAAATCATAATACTTTTTTCTATTAAAATTTTTTAAATAAAAATGTAATTTTGAGTTTCTCAGTTTAATTTATAGTTTTATTATTATTATTAATATTGATTCCATTGCTGCCAGTTTTTCATAACAACTTTTTTTATGGAATATAAGTTTTTCTGTGAACCTGTTGTATTAGCTTTCGTTCTAAGCTATATTTGGATTTTTCTCATCGTTTACATACTAATATTTTCGCCTAAATATTGTAGTCATTTAGTGGTAGTTTGGTAATGTTATTTTTCGTTAATTTTTTTGTTGTAATTCCAGCTGTTGTCAACACTTTTTTGCTAAAATCTACATCTTTTTTACTTAAAGTATTTACATTTAAATACTGTCTCACCTATTTGCTTGCTGCTTAGTTAAATTTTTTTTTTGGTTTACTTATTTTTTAATTTTAGTTTTTTTTTTTCTTCTGTATGTTCCTTAAAATCATTAACTTTTACGCTTACCTCGTTCTTACTTAAATGAATTTGTTGTGTTTTGTATTTTTTGTTTTTGCGTTAGTTGCTAATTCCATTATTTCTTTGTATCCCAAACTCAATCAAATGGCGTTTAACCTCCACTGTCTGCCTATTTTTTATGTTTTTTTTATATGCTAACACTATTTACAATGCCTTGAGTTAAATATATATGTATGTTCTTTATAATTATTTGCAAACTATTACATGAATGTTACCAACGAATTCACATATTCAATTACTTCAATTGCGCTAAGTTCTTATAAAGGTAAGTTTTATGTATGTATTTTCATTGTTTTGCGTTAAATTAGTTGACTTTTCTCACTTTTTGCGGTTTATAAATTTTTATTTAATATTTCTGATTTTTCTTTTTTATTTTTCGTGATACAAGTTTCTCTAATTAAATGTGCCGCTGCTATGCAATTTTACTTAATTCGTGTTGGTGACGAAGTTAGTATGAAGTAGATTTTTTATTTTTCTCACCGGAATTTGTATATATATATAAATAATTAGTTGTTTACCTTTCACACTGTAACTCAGTTTTCATATGGTAAAAAATTTGACTAGAATGCCAAATGCTTTCTCAGTTGGTTGTGCAGGCAAGAGAAGCATATTTTGAAAAGTAGAAATTGTATAAACTCAAGCGAAACGTTTAAACACTCTTTAAAAATCACCTAAAATTCCAATTAATTAATTTCATTACAACCACCAACTACACACATATATGCTAAGTTTTTATGTTTGCTGGGTAAAAAAAGAATTTTTTTGGTCTTTAATTGAATTTTCACATATTATTTTATTTTTCATAATTATTTTATTAATTTTTTTTAATATATTTTCTTAATCAAATAGTACAACTTTTCTCATTACTAATTATTTTTTTTTACTAAAATTAATTAAATTTAAGTATGCATGTCTGCGTGTTGTCTACTTTTACATTCTTTTTATTTTTTGTTTTTTTTTTTTGTGTATTTTTCTTTTTTGTTGGAACGAAAACAGTCTTTGGGTACTCATTACACTTAAGTTTCATTACATATATTTTTTAATATATTTCTGTAATTTTTTAAATGTAATTAATTACATGCATTAAGTGCCAAAATTACGTTTACATAAAAAGTAAAGTAATTGTTAATTAATTTTAATGCATACTCACACACATTTGCACTTAAACACATTTTTTTTCTAATTAAGTAAAATACATACAATGTAAAATCTAAGTGTTTTGCCTTTATATGGTTGTTGTTATTTTTCATTATTTGAAACTAATATGTACATACATACATTCAGTTGTATACAAAAATTATATGTACATATGTATGTGGCAATGTTGGTGTGCGCGCGGATAGATCTGGTGCTAAATTGCGGGAAGTTTTGGCAAAATATATGAGAAAATAAGATCTAACCAAGCTGCAGGAAGTTGAGTATAAATTTCAGTAAAAGATTTATTCAGCTTCGCTCAGTGGCTGCTTTTGACGAAAAGTATATTTTTTACGCGCTTTTTGAAGCCCACTTATTTTCGGGTGGTTTTGGTATGATATTCGAGCGCTTTATATAAATTAGTCTTAAATAATCGGTCTCATTGGGAGTTATATGTGGAAAAATTCTTGTGGAAATTTTTAATAGGAAACAAAAACAAAATGTCGAAATTCATTTTATTTTTACGTTAAAAATGTTCGGCCAAATTTGTTTACATGAAATTCCCAATAACACCGAATAAATTTTCTTCAATCTGAATTTGTTAATTTTTTTTTTACAAAATTAGCTCAATTCTGGCCTACATATGTATGTACTTATATGTAACTAATTGTCGTTGCTATTGAATTATTTATAATTATACAAATGGCTTGGCTCTACAATTACAAGTCAGCGTTTTCATTGTGTGTAACGAAAATGTGTGAAGGACTTTGTTTTTATGGAGAAATATTACAACATATTTTCAAAACTACCTACAAACGGCCGTTTGGCCTCACTTCGTCATACTCCACTCTACTACTTTCCTTCCACTTGCCTGCCCGGACCTGACCACCACACACCACGGTCTTGTTATGTGAAACTAAAATTTTACTTTATTTAAGTATACAGTTTAGAAAATATTTATATGAATAGATATATATGTATATACATATGCATATATATAATAAATAATAACAGAAAAAAATGTACAATACTTATAAAACTAGCGTTGAGTATATTATAAACCTAGATACGTGTGTGTACTTTTGACTACACTATTTACTGTTTTCTCTTTTCTCTTTCTTTTTTTTTGTTTGCTTGTTTGTGTCTCTTCTTAGCTTTAAATACTTTGGTTTCATTAACATTTACCCTACGCTCAGCACAAGTTTTCGGCTATCGAATTCATTTTCTCGTTTTTCTTTTTGGCTCTTCAACTTGTCTGTCATTTATTCATATGTCTGTATGCATGCATGCATGTAAATACTAATAATTTGCTGCCGTCCTTCTTGCGCTGCTGCCTAAATTTAAACGTATAGTAGTAGTAGTCTTATATAAAGTTGGTATGGGGATGAGTATTTTTTTTTACAAATGTTTGTCATTTTCTTGCTGCTAATTCAATTCGCTCCATAGTTTGCAGGCTTTCTTTCTTGGTTGCTCCTTTACTTTTCTTTTTCTTTTATCTTTGGTTGTACTACACTCTTTATTATATTTAATTTAATTTAGCTTTATCATTCATAATATTTCTTCGCACTGTTTCCTTTTTGTATTTGTCGGTCCGTTTGTAACAGTTTTTGTCTTAAGTTTTTGTTTTTTATTTTTTGTTTTTTGGTTCGTTTCGTGTTTTTCGCTGTTTTTCTAAATAATGTCTTTCCCTTTTGGTTTTAGTTACTTTTTATATTTTCTTTGTTCACTGTCTACGACCTTACAATCCTAATTCGGGATGTACAGCTGCTGGATTCACTTCATCACCATACATATTTGCCAGTTTGCCGAAGCGTGGCCCCCACGAACCTAAGTAATCGTACTCGTGCGTCTCATCATCCGTGCCTGTATGGGAGAAGATTAAATGGAAAGCATATGAAATATTTAATTAGTTTTGATGGTAAATATGTTATTGCAATATTTTCTTATGGCAGAAATAGTAATAAAGGGTAATAATTCTGTAGTTATTTCATAAAATAGTACTGAATCTGTAATGTTTATTAATAAAATAAATTTAAATTAAATTAAACAAGTGCGAGAATTATTTATAGTTACAAAACATTTAAATACATTTTTCAAAACCGCATAACCACACTCATTAAAAACTTTATTTACTTAGTCTTCTACACATTTATTTTTTACACATTAAATCAATTAAAACATCATAAATTTATAGATCCAACGTTTTTTAATTTAGTGGCTTATTAACCATCAAAATTTTAGAGGAATAATCGTTTAAAAATTTTCAAATTTGATACTTAATCTGATTTTAGTATGTATTGTAGTTAAAAATACCATTCCTCCCAAGAAACAGAAAATTAAGACATAAACGAGAGGCGACTGAAAAGTTCGCGGCTTAAAGTATTTAAAGAAACAAACGTATTGTTTTATTTTTTTTAATTTTTCAATATAGTCACCCCCAAGTGAAATACTCATACACTTTTCACACTGTGAATATAATGCTTTTATATCTTTTAAAAATATTATTTTGATTTATCTTAAAAATGCCGCTTTCATCCCATTGTCGTCTGAAAATCTTCGTCTCCGTAATTCGTTTTTCAAATTTGAAAAATGGAAAAAAGTTACTGGGAGTCCGGACCGTAGGATGGATGCTCAATTTCTGTAAATCCAGTAGCTTTTGAGGCGCCACTCGCAACCCGAAGAGTGGGCTGTCTTAAAGAAAACTACCTCACACGCCTGACTAAACAAATTAGTGTAATCCTAGCCGTTCATTGTATGTAGTTTCCTTTGGCAAGTAATCAATTGATAATATTCCTCGCTATCACAGGAAATGGAAGTCATAATTTTCGACGCCGACTTTTCCTCTTTGAATTTTTTCGTGGCCTTTCCCTTTTTTTGCCATCAACTACCACATTTTGTAATTTATTCTAATAGCTAGTCCCAAAAGTAGTATTGCCACTAACTACCGTAGGACGCGATTATCACCCGCCAATCGAATATTGAAAAAGCAAAAGTCATTAAGCTTAAACGAGTTTCGATCAGAAAAAAAAGAGGCGTTGGATGAGTAGGTTTTAAGGGGCAATTAAAAAGGTTGTTAGAGTGTCATGCGGAATCTCATTGCATGCAACTGCGTGGGTGGTGATTGGAATCCGAGAACGTTGTGCACGGTAAAAAGTTCAAGAAAGTGTTAACGATCTTTGAGTGAATGGCGTTTAAAGCGCGTCGGAGCGCCGTTTCTTTCCAGAAGATACTACTTGCACAGCATAAAATTATGCTGCTAAACTCTTAGTATAGACGTTTCCCCGTGCAATTGATGTTCCGGCGATATTAGTAGGTTTCCTGACACAGTGCTAAGGGCGGTGTTCTGTTGTAGCTTCTTAATTTGCTCCTCGCTAGTTCCTAGCGTCCAAAGCAGAGCAGCGTAGTTTACGATTGCCTGGCCAATTTCCCTGTATGTTGCCAGCAAAGTTTCTTAATCTTTCCCGAGGTGCTGCCGATTAACGTTTTGAGGATTTTGTTTTGCGGATCTGAACTCTTGTGGCAATAGCAGTTTTATGTACATCGAGTACATTGAATGAGTACAGGCTATCGAATGAGTCTGCTAGTAACTTTGGTTTGGCTGTAGTCTTAATTTTGACGTCATCGATTCACATCGTCTTCGAGCCGCTACCTACTTTGTACTGCTTGTCATCGGCATATGAGATTAGTGAAACACCATCTAGTGGAGAAGGGATCTTCGAAATGTAGAAGTTAAGCAACCCTTTGTTTAATTCAACGGGATTAATTATTTGACTTCGAAATTTTACCGGTTGTCAACCACTAATATAGCCCATAATCCGTCTCTTCAACTCTAGCGACAATGAGGAGTCCTCAATATCCGATAGCAGCACTGAGCGGTTCACAGTACTAGTACGCAGAGCCGTTTCTGATTGAGGAAATTAGAGCGGCAAGGCCCTAATAGTATTCGCTACTGGGGAGAGGTGATAAATTGGTCGACATGATCCTTCCTTCCGGTTTAAATGGTGGGACCACTCTACCCGTTTTCCACGGGTACATGTTATTACGGTGGTCAAATATAAATTAAAGACCTTTGGTGATGAGACGAGGCCCGGTCCTCGGTTTAAAAAGAATTTTAATTAATTACCTTTTTTTTTGTATTCACGATTATGAAAATCAAGAATAATAAGATTGCGTGTATCCCGACAAAAAAAGATTGATGGTTTGAGATCACTAATAAATTCTATCAAAATATGGAAATAACTAAATATGGTACAAATAGTAAGGAATATGTTAAATATTTACATAATTCCATAATAATGGTGAATAATCTCTTAGAACTAAATATTTTTTTGCTCACTTTTACACCCAATATTCAGCAGTATTGGAGCGCAGTCCTGTAAATTTAAAAATAAAAATAAAATATGTACATTTTTCCAACATGAATTGAGTGATTCAAGCACCAAGATAAACGGTATAATTGTACATACATTAGTACGAGGTGTTTGCTAGCTACGCACATACATTCTTACAGCTTTAAAGCTATTTCAGGACATGTTTTATGTTATAGTATAGGATATAGTAAGGAGGAGAACCAAAATGACAGGCTAATACATTCAGCATTTTGCTGACGGAAAGCAGGTATAAAATAGTTGAAGGCACTGAGAAAATTTCCGAGCTTCTTAATTATACTTGTATAAATATACACCATACAGTATTGATATGTGTAGAGTTAGGATTTTTACTAGCCATAGGTACTTTAGGTGATTAATAATTTATATGTAGAAGTTGGAAACAATTAATTAAGAAGCTAACTCATAGGTTTGAGGAGTAGCTATTATTACATTACTTTGAGGACTTTGCCTAAATGTTGTAATAATCGACTAGACTTGAATGAGGTGATATAACACAGTCTTTCAAAAATTTAGAAAAGAAGGTTGAATATCTATAGCTACTCAAACTATATAATGTGTTTGAAGAAAATCACTAAGCAATGGTAACTACAATGCTCCACAAATTCCGACGACTGTTCTATGTTCAACAAATCATTAGATTTTCCTACAGATCTTCGCAGCGATTGTTTAACTAATACTTCTCTATGAATTTATAGCATATTTAAAACAACACCATCTGCAGCTCTTCATGCGTTTATGAATATACGACTAGTGAGACTGTTACCTAAAGGCAGGGAATTCATATCTGATATGAGATAACGCATCTGAAAGACAGAATATACGAGCTACGTTGGATCGCACCTGACGCCAGTCCAGACCAACTAGATGAGAAATTAGTGCTGGAGTAGGAACTAGGGTTAATAAGAAAGTTTTAACCACTGTAGTATACTCCTGCCATTAAGCTGTAGCACTGGAATGTCAGTTATCAACTAAGTTGACCTTCATTAACACGTTTATAAAGGGTGATCCATTTTGATATTCCCTACTGATAAAAACACAGAAAATTCAAACCTAAAAAGGAAAGCTTATTATCACTCTAAATCACTCATAAAACATTTCCATTTCTACTGGTAACTGGCGAATGACAAGTGTGAATTTTTTCTCCAAAGTCTGAATCGAAGCCGGATTATCCGCATAGACTCTAGACTTTACATATCCCCACAGAAAAAGGTCTAACGGTGTGATATCAAACGATCTTGCTGGCCAATCGACCAGTCCAAAACATGAAGATATCTGATCACCGGAGTGTTCTCGCAATGACTCCATTGATTGATGCGATGTGCGGGAAAAGGCGCCATCTTGTTCAAACCAAATGTCACCGATATATTGAGCTTCAATTTCAGTGATCAAATGGTTGCTTATCATGGCGCGATAATGGTCGGAATTGACGGTTACGTTCCAACCGTCATCATTTTTGGAGAAATATGGACCGATGATTCCAGCGGCTCACAAACCACACCAAACTGTTATTTTTTTCGATAAAAGGGCAGCTCTTGAATCTTCTCACATTGCTTTTCGTCCCAAATGCGGAAATTTTGTTTGTTTACATACCCATTGAGAAATGGGATTAATCGCAGAACAAAAATTTCGCTCGAAAACTCAAAGCGATGTCGCTTGGAATGGTTGAGCTGCTTCAGTTCGTGCACAAGCTGTATTTTGCACGCTTATAATTTAAGATATTGACGTACATTAGTCCGAGTTACTGCGAACGGCGCCGAATCGATTCTTTACGGGCATCGTGTACACTCTCAGCTAATGCCGTTAATTTTCTTCGCAGCGTGCTGTACGTGGTCAATTCGGTAGAATATTATCTAATAATGAATGTTGGGTTTCAAGATGGGTAATGATGTTGCGAATAGTATGCTCAGTAAGCCGATTATGTTGATCATAACATGCCAGCTTGACACGACTCAAAAAAATACCTCTATTTGCATTACCCGTTATTGCCTTCTTATGTATCCACTTTAAACGGAAGTATTAAAGTCACATTTTGTAAATTTTTCTCGTTATCCTTATTGAGATTAACAGGATTATATAAATCGAAAAAACTATAACGGTAAAAGCAGTCTCATTGTGGTACGTTCCTAAAGTTAACTTATATAACAAATATTTTTTTATATATTTATTGTAATCTGGCATCTCTAACATAATCTCAACTAAACTAACTTGCAACTAGTATATGAGATGACTGAATACTAATAGAGCGAATATTGGGTGCAAAAGCTTAAAAGTGCGGCAAAATATATACAATATTATAAAATACATATATAATACTAGATAATTATAAACATGTTCGTATGTACAATAAATGTACACATAAATTTTTTTTTATCTTTGCATTTATATTATATTGCAGATTTTATTTACTTTTACTATAGATATAGGAATTCTTCTGAGTTATTTAGCTATTTATAGGAGTACTCACCAGAGGCCAGCGAACTTAACGAGCCGGCTGTGCTGCCGCCACCTTCATAGGCGTAGTTGCGTAAGTCATCGAAGGGCGGTGCATTTGGGTCACCATCGGCACGCTTTTTGTGCTCTTCAATGAACATGCCCACGTTTGGCTCCTGGCCGGGCATTAGCGTCATCACCGGATCTACAGAATTGCAGCAAAAGAGAAATTTAGAAAATAAGAGAAGAAGAAAAAGCAGAAAACGGAAAGTAAAGAAATAGAATTATTATGTTTTTCTTTAGACACAAGCCAGTAAAATGTCTAAGTAAGTATGAATGTAAACAGCTTCGAGTGCATACAGATATATAGATATAGCTTCGGCGACAACTACTATTATTCAGCATATTTTAGTGCGTTACTTAAGAACAAAAAAAAAAAAAAAAAAGTTAGAAAAAAAATAAATAAATAATGTTTCTGTGTCACTGAATTTTTAAATTTAGTCAGCAGTATCTAACTAAAGGCACAGGCGGTGGGTTTCATTGCTCTTAGCAGCAACGGATGGCGAAGAAAAATTGAAGTGCAAAATCATGTTGCCAACAATTTAAACGCTGTCTCAAGCGAATTGGGAGGCGGATAAGGTGAAAAGGAAGTGAATAATAAATAATGAATATTTTAGAGACTTTTACTCAGTTAAGTTGGTTTAAAAGTACTTTTAAGAATTCTAATATCTAACAGTGGTGGAAAGTACAGAATTGATAGAATGACTTAGAAATTATTTAACGTGATCGTACATAAACCAATAGAGAATTAAATTATTCTAAAGTAGTATTTAATCCAACCACATGATTAACGAGACTTAACCCAGAATGAATTTCAAGTGACGGTATTACACAGAAGGCAAAAAAAAATTTCTGCTTGCATATATCGTTTGGTCTTAATAACTGGATATTTCCTTATATTTTATTTTGATTAAATTGAAATAGGTTTGGAGTATTAATGCATGTAATACTTATTCTTTATTTTATATTATTTTATTTTATATGTAATTGAAGTATATTTTGAGCTGTCCAGTATAAAAGTATGGGTTATCTTCCTAATTATCAGCCGGTGATCTAATGTACAGTTCCATGTGCACTAAATCTTCCTTACTTGTTTAGCTTACATTTTTTTTTTGTAGGTTCTTTTTGTTTTTCCAAGCCAGCAAATTTCCGGTTTGAGCACTATTTTTTTATTGAAGATATTGTACATAATAGTACGACATGACAATTCTTTATATTTTCACTTTCGATTGCAATCACAGACTGAATGTTACTCTAAATACGTGGCTAACTATATTAAGATTAGAATTATCAGCATAAAAAATATATTTTTGCATTTTCCCTTATTGATTAAATGTTGCTCATACGACATGGTACACCTTTAATTTTTATACTGCTTATTCTTCAATTGAGTCAAAGAAAAAATAGCTTGTGATCTATGTACGGTCAAGGCTTGCATTTAATGAATTAAAATTTCTAAAAGTCATGCTTTCTTTGGATAAACATTTTTTTAGTACCTCAATTTACTGGATATTGCAACGTGTACAATCAAAACTGACTAAAAATTCTATTTAATACCCGTAGTTGGGTGGCGTTTGTATTACAAAGCTTCTATTTTTGATTGCCTCGCAGCTTTAATATTTGAAATTAGTAATATTTTTAGTCAGAATTCAAATATAAAATATATCAATTATTCCTAAGCAACGCACAAATACTCGCTGATTATTTGTTAACAAATAAATCCGATTCACATCAAATGAGCAAACACATAATCTGCGTAAATAAACAGCCACTCCATTACCAACTAAAAAAACCATCGCATTTATGGATTAAAAAGTATACATAACTACTTGCTAAAATACACACACACAAAAACACGTCTATAGATGTATGCATGTATGTATTTATATAAGTGAAATATTATAGAAATTTTGTACTTACACATTATTGGCATTTTCATGGCCGCCAACTCGGGTGGCATTGGCCCGCCAATTGGTATTTGCAGCGGTGTAATATCGAATGCAGTCATGTCATCCTCGCCACCGCCTTCATCATCATAGTTGATAATATTCTCTCGCACATCATCATCAGGGCCAGGATATTTAATATGCGCCTCACGGCGACGATTATAAACGACGAATACCAGCACAAGAACTAAAATGTGGAAGAGAAGTTGTGTATGGGGTGGGGGAGAGAGAGTGTGTAGGTTGCAATTGAAATGGGGGTATGCAGGGGGGGAGGGAGGAAGAAAAAAGTTGATATTAGTAATTTCTTGTAAAGCAAATAGTTTTTATGTAAAATTTTCATTTATATGCAGATTTGCATGTATTTATATTAAGATTATTCACTATTTTCAAATGTCGTATTCAGTAGTACGCGTAGCAATGAGCGGCGGCACTTAACGCTTAACGCACAATGAGTGGCGTTTTATGTTATATTCTTGTCGTTGTTATTAGTTTTGAAATATGCATGTGAAACTAGGAATTATATATCGCTTTCGTATTGTTCTTTATTGCTTATAGCCGGCGGTATTTAAAAACTTAAAATATACATATGCAATTTTATATACACTTATATATACAAACTAGATATAAATAAGAAGCTACTATTTTTTACTAACAACAATTTGGAAAAAATAAGCATGCAAAGTGCTCTTTAATGGTTAATATTTAGATATGTTTGCGCGTGCATAATGAATATTTTAAATAAAGTGAGTAAAACATATGTATATACAAGTATGCTTACAAATACATATATATAAATATTACTGTTATACGATACATGTTGGACTGTATGAACTGCATGAAGTGCATTATCGGCACTCAGTACATACATAGTGCAAGCAAATATTTTAGTTAGTAAAGGTATTAAAATAATAAAATGCATAAATACACTCACACACTGACACCTTTATACCTTCACACACCCTCAACAGCACTTACGCTACAACCCGTCATACAAGTTGAACGTGCTTTTAAGCGCTTTCACAACACATATTTTATACGCACACAGCCATTCAAATGTACGAATGTAGCATAAGCTATTATGCAACAAGCAGTGCGCGCATCCGTAAACAGACTAAATACGGTTGCCATAACTAAACTAAATATGCCACAAACAAATACAAGATAAAGTAAATGCGAATTTATTTTCAAGCGAATGTATGTATGTATGTATCTGTGTACGTACATATGTAAAAATAATGTATGTATATGTGAATGTGTTGTAGTAAATTACAAATTTGTTAACCCTCCAATGTCCGCACATTCGTATTATATAAATACGCAAATAAAATATGTACGTCGGTTTTTGGCGGAGCAGTAGCATGCCACATGTGTGGCATTAATTACTTGCAACAAACAAGCAAGTGTACATATTTACACATGTAAAACACTCGCTTGTATATAATAGCTCAAAATTTTATATACAGCTAAGCCAACGCACTTGATCCTGTTACCCTTGTTGTTGAGCGCGAATACAAGCGCATATAATATGCAACGCATTTAACTAAAAATGTTGCATCATCATGGTTGCAGGTTAGAAAGAAGAGGCTGCCACCCATAGATTTACACACATTGTGCAGTCAAATTAACTAGTTGAATACTACTGCGAAACTGGTATATCGATTGTTTTATTGTTATCAATTTTTGACTAGTAAAGGGTTTTACAAATAGAGAAGCTTTTTCGCTAGGTGTCAATTTAAAGCTTCTATTTTTTGACATTTGAAAAGTTAAAGCTAAGCCAGTAATAAAAATGGGATGATACACGTCTCAAAAACGCACTGAAGTTATTAAAATTCACAACGAAAATTTCATCGAAAAACCATATTGCTCGATGAGGTCAGGAGGTCCACCTCGTTAATAGGCAAAACTCTGCCATCTGTGGCTCCGGAAACCCAAGATTTATATATATATTTGTTGAAAGCTCTCTACACGCCAATGCGTAATTGTTTGGCGGCTTATGGCCCGGCGGGGTTATTAAACATTACTTTTTCGAAAATGCATGGCCGGAATTGGATGTTATTTACCATGATCTTTAAAGGAAAGAGCTTCTTGGTATATCAAACTCCTTTTCGTATCACTGACTGAAAATTGACCATTACCTTTTCCTAGGATAGTCCAGTGTAAAAAATTTAAAATACTATTATTTTCAGCAGTCAATTATTGGCTAGAATTATACCAGTGCTATACTAGTTCAAAAAAGGTGCACATATTTAAAACTACTAATTCTGGTATATTCCAAAGAAATCGATTCGCGATTATTGACTTAAAAAATTCTCTGAATTTAGTAAAGTAAATGACAAAAGGTGTTAAAAATATTTAAAATAGAATTCAGTGAATCCTCTAGCCCATTAATCGTGCGCATCGGGACGCTCTGTAACGACTATCTAATCTTAAACGAGTTTTCTTTAAGAGAAGTTTTTTCAAATCAGCAGGCAGCATCACTTAAATAATGTGCCATTTTTAAACGGAATTTCCATAATCTTTATAAAAAAATGTAAAGAGAAACACGTAGGCGGGGTCTCAGTAGCTTCATTCAAATAATTGTTATAAACAACTAAGCGCCGATTTTTTTTTTGTTCCCAAACATAAATTGGCTTTACTTCAAATGCCCACCAATTATACAAAAATTTGTAGTTCTGTCATTATTGTTATACCTTTTTCCCGTTTAAAAAAAAAAGAAATTAAAACAGATTTTTGGCATTGGCAGTGGTGTTACTCTTCAAGTTCTAGAAACACAAAATTATTTTCATTTCAATTCAAATAAAATTAACAATTTTAACAAAAATTAATTTTCTTAAGTAGAAAGAAGTTTAAATTGAGGGCCTCCAAATTATTTATAAATAAATATTTATTATAGAAATAAAACATCGTTCCATTTGGCACCTTTCCGACTAGTGAGATTTCAATTTGAAAATTCTGGTGATGAACTATTATTTTTTGTGACTAGGTTGTGACTTTGCTGTAGCATATCCATGTATGTATTTTCCTCAACGCTTGCCACTTTGAAATGTATTCCATATCACCGCTGAAAAATTTTATTTGCTAGGGAATTTCAAACTGAGTTGAAAGAAAGATAATAAATACAATGTTTCTGTTTTTATTTTCTCTTATACTCTGATTCGTAGTGTAAATATTAATGGGAATATGCACTTATTTGGAAATGGTAATTAATAAATGTGTTATTTACAATACCCTTAATACTCTGTGCTACTATTTCTATTAATTATACTATTAAATACAATATATCCAGTTGTAACTTCAATGTTGGGTTTATTTATTTTCTTATTTTGCATGTGGTCAGTGCTTGTTTAGTCGATTTATTTTAGTTTTGTATTTGCATTTGGATAATTCTGTTTTGTCCACTTGCTCTTGTGTGCATTAAAATTTCATATGGGGTTACTTTCATTCATTAAAATAGAACAATTGCAATTTTAGTTAAGAAAAATTAATGTTATTTTATTGCTCTAAAACAAATATTAGAATAACAAAACAATGATTCGTTGCAAGTGAAATGCAGCTTCAACTGCGTCACCACCGAGTGGTGGAAGCGACTTAGTCATGGAAGAGAAACATCTAAACTCGCAATGAGGACCTGAGCGGTTCGATTCGTGACTTGCGTTTTTCCAAGTAAAAATAAGATTACATCGCGTGTGTAATGATGGAAATATTTTGACTCTGGTACACAAGTTGCTGCGAGTTGCGAAGCCCGAACTAATAGACCGGCTACACTTGGATCTAGCCAACGTCGAAAGCTGGTACTAAGAAATTCAGGATAAAGGCACGATGAACGACTACTGTTAGACTCTTATACTTGAAACGCATACCAAACAACACAAAAGTGACTGTGATGTGTCTCTACATTTCTGATTTGTTGCTTTTAATCAATTCATACAAACAACAAGGCCTCGAAGTTTACTTAATAAAAATTAATATATAGCATGGCCGCAAAAACAAGTTATGAAATTATTTATTATTTGCAAAAAAAAAAAACAGAAAAAAAAAAATCAAGTGATCTGGGTGGCCAGTCAATATTATTCTCGATATCCACGTTGAGTTGACACAATAGATCTACTGTTTTCGATGTTAGGTGTCACTGTTTCAGCGCGTTGTTTCCGAAAAATATCTGATGCAATCGCTAGGTTGGTAAAAGTGAAAGTTATTCAGCATTTATATACCGACATAACATGGAGCGCCCTGTATTATCAATTATATATTTGCTTGCTAACTGCTGAAGAGATTTTGAACTTGTGGCTTGCTTCTTGATGGTCTTCCAACAAAGGGGGGACCTACTTTTTATTCTAAGTGGCCATCGAATGGCTGATGTTGCTTTATGAGGAGCTATGAAATTCATGCCAGAAATATAATCGGATTTGGTTTAACATAGCATAAAGGGAAAACTCTAGCGTGACACAAAAAGGGTAGACGCAAAAGATTTTTCATTTATTTAAAAAAAATAATAATTTTGAGAAGTATTTTTTCTATATACATTTATCTTCTTTTTTTTAACAGGACTTATTGAAATATTATAACTCTCTTGTATCCAGATAGTTGGGAATATACAGATTTCAGTTTTTATATCTGATGAAATCGGATTGGGTTTGGGATAGGAGTTAACCTCATTTAAAGTCAGCTGAGTAAATCAATTTTTAAAGGCTAAAACCGAAAAAGTGATGTAAAAGTTGAACAAAACTCAAAGTAATCTTGATTGTTCTATTTTATTATCTCAGTACGGTGCGCCCGGATTTCAGATGTTTGGCATTGTGAACAAATTTTTTACCGTAAATTTGGCATATATATTCGAGCAACCACAGCATTCTATGATGTTCTTAAACTGGAACGATGAATATATTAAATTCGGCTGAAGTATGAAAGTACCAGAACGAAAAAATATATATACTCATTAAAATACTGTGATTTAGCCACGTCCGTTTGCTTGTCTGTCTGCCTGTGCGTCCTGTAGGGTGAGAGTCGTTCATGTGCAACTGTTTTGTGCTGGTATTAAAATTAATTATAATTCCCAATTGCAATACAATACGTTTAGAATAATTATTAAGCCTTTTCACTATGGCTTCGGTAATAAATTACCACTTCGGTATAACCATCGTCTGTGAAAAATTAAAGCGAACTCTCGCCCAGAACTAATTTTGATTG